TATCGCAAACGTGCCGTACCGTACCGTACCGTATGTTAGCACGTAGCCATTCAGCGACGGGCTTATATGATTTAAGACAATTTAAGCCAATCAGCGATCAGTTTACATCAATTGTTTACATCGTGCCCGCATCTAACCTGCGAACGGGCGGCGTTTGGCCTCGTGTTATTCTTTGCCATTTTCACATTTGGGCTTCGAAAATATCTTGATTTTGTCTTGTTTGCGCTATTTTCCGAAGTTACTATCGACATGGAAACTTATCCTCATCTGGTAAGTAGTCAAATACGACATATTTATTATCTTATTATGTATTTATACAGTAAAACAATCATTTTGTTGTGTAATATTTTAAACAGTCAAAACATAGCAGGCAATATATTTGTCAATGACAATGAACAATGTCACAAGAAACTAATGTTCTCAGGAGATATTGAATTAAATCTTGGTCCTGTATTTCTGTAGTAAACTCTGTTCGATGTTATCAGTTAAAATACTTATACATTTTGGTTTAACAGTGATTAGAGTTTTTAAACAAAATGTTTACAAACATTTTCAAATGCTAATAAAAGAATCCCCACTCTCCCTCCTCATTATATTGTTATTTTGCTTTCTAACATAAATGTTTTTGTTTAGAAATTAATGCAAGAATGATGAATAAATGTACTGGATATTGGCTAGATAATTTTGTCAGAACAACCCACTTGCAAGACAATATTACCTAAATTCATTAGTATGGATAACTTAACAGCTACAATAATCATATATTATATGGATGGATCAGATCAATGGCACACAATATGGACAAAACTAAACTTGTGATACCTTCTACTCAAACTGATATTCTACCACAACACAAATTGTTTTTGTGTGGATATGCTGTGTTAAACCGAACAGTGTGGTATATCATTAACTGTGCACAGGATTGGCATTGAATTATATACTTCACTCATGACCTTCAAAACATTCTCTACTATTCAGTGGTCTTTGATATATGATTGACTCTTTGCTACCGTGATGCATGTTCCTCGAATAGTTTGTGTATGTTACTCAACAGTTAATGTTGGCAAGTGTAAACAACAAGTGACAGAACTTCTGCTTCATATGATTACAACAAAGTTTTGAAAATGGGTATGGATTCACAAGTGACAGTTTACTAAATAGACACTTCGAATATTGTTTGCATGAGATTTTTATTTTTTGACCGCATAATTATCCGAGTTACAATGGGTCGTTCCAGAAAAAACCTGTACTCCCCCCACAGAGGAAATTTCTGCCGTCCGGAGGGGAGAAAAAATTGTTTATGATAATAGTAAATGTATTAGGACATGAGAAGGGAGTAGGGGGGTTAACTTCCTATTTCCTCTGTGGGGGTGGTATGGATGTTTTCTGGAATGACCCAATCGCAATCACATAAAATTAGTTAAATTTTCTCCGCAGGAGGGAGGGGGGGTGAGTTGCCCCTGCTGCCCTCCGTGCTGTCACAGAATATAAGAAGGTACAGCAGAAGTGTAACTCGAGTCGGTTCCCTTATTGTTTTACGTTCACGAAAATTTTAACTCGTTCACACCATCCTGGCTAGTACAACCGGAAGTTTTTATCAGGTTTTGGTAGATGCCAAGTGCCGGTTGTACTAGCCAGGATGGTGCGATTGATGACGAATCACTTGTAAAAACGCGGACAAATACTTGCTTGAGTTACACTTCTGCTGTACCTTCTTATTCTGTGGTGCTGTCTACAGCCTTGTTAGATTTGTACTATGTTTGACTTTAAAATCTTATTTGCTATTATATTTATTATAATAAGTGATGAAAATGTGAATCAAGTTTTTTCGCAGATACATGTACGCGTCGCGTACCTATTTTTGTATCTGCGAAGCAGATATATATGCTATCGCAAACGTGCCGTACCGTACCGTACCGTATGTTAGCACGTAGCCATTCAGCGACGGGCTTATATAATTTAAGACAATTTAAGCCAATCAGCGATCAGTTTACATCAATTGTTTACATTGTGCCCGCATCTAACCTGCGAACGGGCGGCGTTGGCCTCGTGTTATTCTTTGCCATTTTCACATTTGGGCTTCGAAAATATCTTGATTTTGTCTTGTTTGCGCTATTTTCCGAAGTTATCTATCGACATGGAAACTTATCCTCATCTGGTAAGTAGTCAAATACGACATATTTATTATCTTATTATGTATTTATACAGTAAAACAATCATTTTGTTGTGTAATATTTTAAACAGTCAAAACATAGCAGGCAATATATTTGTCAATATGAAATGAGAATGAACAATGTCACAAGAAACTAATGTTCTCAGGAGATATTGAATTAAATCTTGGTCCTGTATTTCTGTAGTAAACTCTGTTCGATGTTATCAGTTAAAATACTTATACATTTTGGTTTAACAGTGATTAGAGTTTTTAAACAAAATGTTTACAAACATTTTCAAATGCTAATAAAAGAATCCCCACTCTCCCTCCTCATTATATTGTTATTTTGCTTTCTAACATAAATGTTTTTGTTTAGAGATTAATGCAAGAATGATGAATAAATGTACTGGATATTGGCTAGATAATTTTGTCAGAACAACCCATTTGCAAGACAATCTTACCTAAATTCATTAGTATGGATAATAACTTAACAGCTACAATAATCATATATTATATGGATGGATCAGATCAATGGCACACAATATGTACAAAACTAAACTTGTGATACCTTCTACTCAAACTGATATTCTCCCACAACACAAATTGTTTTTGTCTGGATATGCTGTGTTAAACCGAACAGTGTGGTATATCATTAACTGTGCACAGGATTGGAATTGAATTATATACTTCACTAATGACCTTCAAAACATTCTCTAGACCTTCAAAACATTCTCAGTGGTCTTTGATATATGATTGACTCTTCACTACAGTGATGCATGTTCAAGTGTAAACAACAAGTGACAGAACTTCTGCTTCATATGATTGATTACAATAAAGTTTTGAACATGGGTATGGATTGACAAGTGACAGTTTTCTAAATAGACACTTGAAATTTTTTATCCGAGTTACAATGGGTCGTTCCAGAAAAGAACTGTACTCCCCCCACGGAGGAAATTTCTGCCATCCGGAGGGGGAGGGGAGAAAAAATTGTTTCTCATAATAGTAAATGTATTAAGGCATGCAAAGGGAGTAGGGGGGTTAACTTCCTATTTCCTCTGTGGGGGTGGTATGAATGTTTCCTGGAATGACCCAATTGTCATCACAAAAAATTAGTTAAATTTTCTCGGGGGGGGGCGGGGAGTGAGTTGCCTGTGCTGCCCTCCGTGTCGTCACAGAATAAGAAGGTACAGCAGAAGTGTAACTTGAGTCGGTTCCCTTATTGTTTTACGTCCACAAAAATTTTAACTCACTCACACCATCCTAGCTAGTACAAGGTTTTGGTAGGTGCAAAGTGCCGGTTGTACTAGCCAGGATGACGTGATTGATGACGAATCACTTGTAAAAACGTGGACAAATACTTGCTTGCGTTATACTTCTGCTGTACCTTCTTATTCTGTAGTGCTGTCTACAGCCTTGTTAGATTTGTACTATGTTTGACTTTAAAATCTTATTTGCTATTATATTTATTATAATAAGTGATGAAAATGTGAATCAAGTTTTTTCGCAAATACATGTACGCGTCGCGTACCTATTTTTATGAAATATTGAATAAATACGTTGATTTCAGGTTAAGTCCCCCCTTAATCCTGATATTATTCTGAATTTCTCTGCAAATCCTACGGTTGTCGATGCCAATTTAAATACAAAATCAAAATCTAAGTCTGCTACTGAATCCTGTGCCAATGAATCAGTTACCCCCTCCAAATATGTGATCTTGGAAAATTCTAAAGACAGGTATTATTATTGATGATTGATGACAACTGTCTAATTGATGAAAAGTTTGATGCTAGTTTAATGGAAATTCATGGGTCTTGCCGGCAATGTAAAAAAGTAGTTTCTTCCTATGAATCCGATGATCATTTATTATATTGTCCGAAAATTTGTCGTGATGATTTTGATACATTCTGTATTGATTAAGCCAAAGTGTATAAATAATACAACTGACTGTGATATTGAAGCTGTAGCTATTGGATATTGTCAACTTGAAATTGATCTCTCTGACATTAACAATATATTCCCCAAAGTTTCTCAATTCGAAAGTTTTATTCATGATCTTGAACTTTTCCTCGACAAATTCGCCTCCAAAGTCTATAGTAGTTTAAATATTTCTGGACAACGTAAACACTTTAATATTTTGAACTATAAGTAACTCATCTTCTTCGAACTGATCCGATAAACTCATGTGTATACATTACGTATCCTCATCCTAATTATCTTTATCACCTATGTTAATAGTATGCTTATATAGAACCTACTTAGTACCTATGTAATCTTTTATACTTTTCTGAAATAAATTGTAACGATCTGTTCTTATCAGCTTAATATCTGATATGTTAGGCAATGCCTAACTCATATATTAAACTGATTTTTGGACTTCAGCCATGGGATTGAAGCTTGCTTCGCCCTGGCGACGGGTTGTCTCGGTATTGCACTACATCCGAGTACGGTCCCTTCCCCACTTGGGGAAGAACATTTTTTTATTTCAAAAACAAATCAAACTAATACAAATCTCTAGGTTAAACTATTACACACACTTTCTCATACATATATAACATACATATCATATGACTTGTAACACTTTATTATCCTATGTCGATATTTTACACCTTGTGAGCGCGTGTTTTCATTCAACTATGAACCGAATCGACTATATATAATTTTACTAACATATACTTTTTCATTTTCTAGACCGGCACATGACGTTCAAGACAAGAGGGAAACCCCCGAACTACCACAACCCGAACTACCACAATCGCGTCTCATCATCATCGCGTATATAAGGTGAGCGGCGGAAAGAACAGCATATTTACCTGATGCGAGAGGCACCTTGATCAACTAGGAGGTCCTCTCAGGATGAAGCCCTTTCATTGCACTTCAACTGGGTTGACTCCTGGGATTACCCCTAATGTGGGTAACTCGAGTATATAATTTCTGCTAGTGGGGACCTGTGTTCGCGCTCGTCCCCTTCAACATATATATTCATGTATAAAGACGGTTTATTTTGTAACACTGCCGTGTCGATTGTTTTTGTATAGAATCAGATGTCAAACATCATTTATCACAGAAGACAGACACTCTATATTCTCTGTGTCGAAATCTCCATCCTGTGTTCATATTATGGTAAGTAAAGCAGCTATACGTATAGATTTTGTAAGCACTTCGAGTCTTTGCACACTATTAATTCGCTGTATAAAGTAACGCTTGCTTGCCACTGAAGCCGTAGAATCCATCGCACGTACATTCCAAGTGCCGATTAACTGGCTCTTGTGTACCTCAAATGCACATGTTTTGCCGGTCGAACTTATAGAATGCCAAGTAAATATTTATTCAAACATCGCATTATTTCATGGTGTGCGTGACCCGAAACCTTTCCGGGTCACAATGCAATTTGCGAGTGGAAAAAGCACGACACATTCATGAATCTTTAAATAGCGCGAAAGCCGATAAGTTCGCAACTCTCGTATCGCGGTCGATGCCACACAGCCGTCGTGCCCCTCTCCATGACAGCCTGCGCGTGCGCGAGAGAACTGCGAGAGTCACAGTGGGTGATCACGACGGACTTGCCATGCTCATCCAACGAGTAATCAAGCCCTTGTCGATGTCATAATCACTCGCAAGCGAGTAAGAATAAGACATCGCTTCTCGGCCTTTGGCTAAGATGCTGAGGGTAGGGGTTGCAGATGAAGAGACCATCTGACATTACTGCAGAGGTCCACAACGTCTGACGCACCTTATCTGGAAGCATCAGCGCTGAGGGAGCTCCGGGGTTGGGGGGAAACCGAGCTGCACTGCGATCAAATCTTGGTCATATTGCACTAAGTTGGCCAAGTAAGTCCGCACGACTGGTATGGGTCCATTGCACTGCTAGCTTCCCCTAGCAAGTGTCCTTGTAGCCGATACCGATCTTCCGAAAGGAGATCAAGTCAAGTGTGTGTTACATCTTAGTCGCTGAGAGTTCTGCATTACAGTGGAAAGCACCAGTGAAAACCTGGACTGGATACTGGACTCAGAATTGGTATCTTCCTTGGATAAGCAAGTGAAGCCAAAAGGGACAGGAGTCCGAAGACAACTTTGGGTAAGTGTGTGAGTGGGGCGGTCTCTAGCCTTAGGCAAGGACCAAAGGGTAACCAAGGCTCTGCCGAAGTCTCCCCAAGGAACCCTCCTGAGGGCCAAATAGCCAAGCCACTTGGCTAGTCCAGCTCGTGGACAAGCTACGTAGCGTGATGTCACGACCATGCTCCCTACAACTGCTACTGGAGGATTTGCCGGCTGAAGCCACCGCAGATGGCCCAGCTTCCTTACGGGTAGTGATCTTTAACAGTCTTATGGACACAGGAATCGACAGAGCGTTGATCGAGGGAATTGAATGCCTGAGCAAAAAACTATGGTTTATTGTGTTCAAAGAACAGCTACAACGACAGAAATATATCAACAAAGACATTGAGCTACACTCAAAGGTCTTGACGCTAAAATCTACAGATTTTATTTGACCAGAGAGGCCAAGGTACACATATGTATTAGGATATCCTCTTGACACGGATGAAAGGCCGATTTGTTAGAACAGAGCTTAAGTCTTTATGGAAAACTAATTGAAGTCACCGATGACATTGATACTACAATCATGATCAAGACAGGAGTTAAGAGAGCGAAATTCGCTAATCTCAAGGAGAACATACCATCTTTTATTTATGCCGGATGGTACCATGTTCGTACAGCCTATCCCGGACAACCTAAAATGTGCCGAAATTGCTCTAAAACCGGCCACCTCGCGAAAGACTGCCAAGCAGGCAAGGTCTGTAGAATGTGTGGTGACCCGGGTCACAGTAAAGGTGATTGCCCAGAGAAATGATGCTACGTTTGCAAGGAGAAAGGCCATGATCAAAGTCAATTGCGAAAAGTATGCTGAAAATTTCCACAGTTTAACCGAAAGTACTGAGGACGCACAGGAAAAAAACGACCAAGCCCAACAAGTCCGGGACAACGACGGACAGCCAGGGCAAAAACGACGATTGGAATGAGGACTCGAAGGGATGGGAATGCGAAAAAAACGAAAACAAAGACAAAACGGCAACAGATGAAAGAACACCACAAGAAACAACACATGGGACCGAGATTCCCCGGAACGGAGACATGGACACAGACCAGGCGACAGCAGAAAAACTCACCCCAGCTAAAGGTGACAAAGCGAAAGCAACAGGAGAAAACACGCCAGAAACTACAACGGAGGTGACGATGGAGACAGGACAGGAGAGCGGCAAAAAAGATGACACAGTAACAAAGCAAATCGAAAACAACAAGATGGCTGAGCTTCACGTTTCGGACACAGAATTGGACAAAGACATAAGTGCGGACGACCATCAAACAGGTGGGAAAAGGAAGAAGGGGAGCCAAACCAAACCGAAAAAGCCACAGAAAACAACAACGGTAAAGGTCTCGCATGCAGCCAATCGGAACCCTTTCATGGACAATTCAAGTGTGTCACGCTAAACGTAAACGGCATGGCCGAAGGACCAAAACGAACACAAATATAAGACTTTTTATTAGCACAGCAGGCAGATATCTTTTTACTGCAAGAGATTCACAATTCAACAAAAACCGAAGAAACAAAATGGACACGAGAATGGGGCAGCCAAGCTTTTTGGAGCCCAGGCTCGCATCGAAGCTGGGGGGTAGCAATTCTTGTTAGCCCTCAGTTTAAAGGCAAAATCACGAAATTTCTAAACAACTTGGATGGACGGATCGTAACGATCCAGATAGAACACAACAACATCATAATGAATGTAATGAACGTATATGCACCAACACTAGGGCTAGACAGGAAAACCTTTTTCGACAGTTTATGGCATTACAAGACAGGGGACAACAACATTATACTCGGTGGAGACATTAATTGTATCGAAAACACACTTCTAGATAAAGTGGGAGGCAACCCCTTGAGTGGCACAGTGGGTTTCGATGAGTTGAGGGATTTCACGGAACAACATTACCTGGGCGACATATGGCGAGTGAATCACCCACAAGACTGCACTTTTATGTGGAACACAAGCGACTTTTCCATCTGGTCACACCTAGACAGATGGTACGTTCCGGACGCAGAAAGGAACACAGCTACATCTCACATCCAGGCTCGTCCACACTCGGACCACGCGTTGGTAGATCTTAAAGTCGAACTATGTGATGACAGGAAACGCGGCAAAGGAGTGTGGAAGTTAAACAATTCCATCTTACAAGACGAAACATTCCCACATGCGGTGAGAACTTTCTGGTCCTTCTGGCAACAATGCAAGGCTGACTTCTACTCACCTGCAGAGTGGTGGGATGCAGCTAAGGAGCATTTAAAGCGAATAGCCATCCGACACTTAGTCACAAAGCCGCAACCGATGCCGACAAGAGGAGCAACTCTGGGACAAACTGACGAGCATACATAACGAACTGCAACCCAATCCGGACAGAGTAGCTGACATCAAAGAGCAATTATCCCGTCTGATCCAGAAACGGCTGGATGGAGCGAAAATCCACAGCAGAGTGACTTGGCTGGAGGAGGGGGTAAAACCCACCAAGTACTTTTTCGACCTTGAACGAGTGAAACAGGAACAGGCGTGTACCTCAAAGCTGAGCACCGAGAACGGTGAAGTGACCTCTGATGAGCAAATACTAGACACAGCCAGAACCTTCTAGGAACAACTTTACAGAGATGACCCAGGGCTTTCCTCTGGGGGCGCGCGATCGTGCCAGCACACGCCCACATGAATCTGGGCGCGCGATTTATCACAGTTTAGAACTTTACATTATTTAACAGAGAGCACAATATTATCGGTATTCTTTCAAAGTTTTGGTGTTTATAATTGAAGATGGCCACCAAAGGCAATAAAGTGGATCTGGCAACTTTTATGAAGTGGTGGAAAATGGTGTTATTGGCTAGAAGACGGTCAATGATGGGCAACGTGTGTGTTAATTTTGTTTAGTGCAAAGTTTGTCAGCGCAATGAAAATGCTTTATTTCAGCATCCAAACTGCAAAGGGCCTGTTAAGAAGTCAGTCAAATCATATATCGAGGGAACAAGCTTTGTGAGCAAGCACACAGTCAATCGGCATCTGGAGAGCGAAGGCCATCACAATAGAAAGCACGCGGCCTGCGAGTGAAAGAGTAAAACTTTTTGATAAAAGTTATAAATAGATCTGCCATTTGTTTTTTATTGTTATTAGTGACATTGACATTATACTTTCTTCAAGAATACAAATTTAGCGGTTCGCACCTTCCAATTTACATAGCAAAACATGCTGAAAGTTTTTTTTTAATGAAAGAGCTCTAATGCTACTGTATAGCCGTCATTTGCAAACTCTGAACCTGAATTTTGCTGCGTACTTTCATCTGATTCTAATTTTATAACTTTACTTTGATAGATTGTGAGCTTTTTAGATTGTGAGCTTAGAAGTCCATACTTATTAGTCCATACTTATTAGTCCATACCTCTTTGATGATCTGCCCCAGTGACCTATGTGTTTAACCCACCCTACCCAGTACCCAGAGAAAACCGACGACTTTTGGCAGAGCATTGACTTTCACTCTTTTCACATGAATACCGGGTTCAAGTCACATTGAGATGTTCTCACTGAGATTTGGACCTGTGACCTTAGAGGTGAAACGCAAGTGCACTAACCACTTTGCATATTTCAGTTTTTAAGGATAAATTCTGCTGTTTATTGATCTATTCAATAGTTCTGACAGTGGCACATTTAAAATGTGTCTAGCTAATCTTAGGATTTTTAATCTTAATCAATTTTCTTACCCCTTTTGTTATCCATGGTTTTGTTAATTGTTTAGGTTTATGCTTTGAAACAATGTACAAAACGATTTGTAAAATGCACAAAATGATTTATTCACATCGTTTCCACTAATTACAGTTGAGTTAATTAGCTGCTGTTGTAAAAAATTGGGTATCAGAGTAGGATGAGTAATCTCATGTTTCTGCTTCTCGATTTGGGTATTAGTTTTCTTAAATGTAGAAGTAATACAAAATTGGGAAAAATGATGACTTTATATCTGAAATAATATTCCTACTCCTAATATCATATTGTATCTTACTGACAAATATTTTGTCGAGTTTCAATACACACAAGTTGATTTATCAATAGCGGGGGATCAAATTAAAGCTTCTTACGTAAGGGGGTCATCTCCTCTTATTAACTGACTTTTGACCATTTTCTAAAAAAAAATTGTTATTTTGAGCCCCTTAACTATTGTACTTCAAGACTGCATAGTTTATTTAAAAAAAATAAATTATACAAGGCGAAAAAAGCTTTCAAAGTTACCTTGTTTGAAAATTTACCCCATAGCAACGCATTTAGGGACAAAATTCGCTCAAAATTTCATCCTAAAATCGCTTCAAACAAGTTCATTTATGTTTCTCCTTTTGGTGTATGGAATTTAGAGTCTTCTGACCTAGCTGCATTGTGATTGGTTGCTTTGGGGAGCCATGGCAACCCGTTTTCTTTGTCTGTCTTGTGATCGATCGCATTTGCATTATCTGTGAAATTGTCTACAAAAACCTTTTTAACATTCCAAGTCGAAAAGTTGCTGTTCTAGTTTCCCAAAGATTTCTTTTGTTATTTGGGTTGCAATTTGAAGTCATTAAATGGGAAATCTGCAGAACAGAAAGAGAAAACGGGTTAGAAAGACGCCTTCCAAAATGGCAAAAAAATTCAAACATGGCGACGAACCTCGTGACAAAGAAGCTGGGCCTTCCGGAGCGAAAATGGGTGCCCAGACAGCAAATGTTGGCGTTAATTCTGAAAATATAGACACTATAAGGGAAGGAACAGCATTTATGGATTTATCAATCTTATTTGGTGTCTTTGATAAAATTCTGAAATGTCCTGACTGTGGAGATGAAATGAAATCACATGTTGACATGAGGAAAAAACATGGGTATGCTCATTATATTTCTTTGCAGTGTGTGGCATGCAACTGGAAGTATTGTTTTAATACCTCAAAGAAGCAAGGACAGTCCTATGAAATCAATGTCTGAGCAGTCTTGGCCTTTAGAGAAATCGGTAAAGGGCACAGTGCCATGACAACTTTCAGCAAAGTTCTCAACATGCCTGCTCCACCACGACGTTGCCAACTTCACAAAGATCCAAAATAAAAAGCTTTTACCTGTAGTGAAGCAGTGTGCCAATGATAGCATGGTCAACAATGCTATGCATGTCAAGGAAATTATTGATAATGATGCTGGAGAATGTGGAATATCCATAGATGGCACATGGCAGAAGCGTGGTTATTCATCTCACAATGGTGTTGTTACGGCAATGTCCCTCGACACAAAGAGGTGCCTTGATGTTGAAGTCCTGTCCGACAAGTGCCAGCAGTGTCTCAAGTGGAGCAAAGAGCAGAATGATCCAAAGTATGAAGAATGGAAAGCCAATCACCAATGCAAGATCAACCATACAGGGAGTTCTGGCAGCATGGAGACAGCCGGTACCTTAACGATCTTTGAAAGATCATGCACTACAAAGGGCTATTCTAGAAAGTAAACCCTATGGAGAGGACTGTATACCCAGCAAACTAGAATGTATTGGGCATGTCCAGAAGCGAGTCGCAAGCAGACTGCGGAGGCTAAAGAGTTCGAATAAAGGCAGAAAACTCTCAGATGGCAAAGGAATATCTGGCAAAGGTCGCCTAACTACTGGAAAGATGGATGTTCTCCAAAATTATTATGGCTTGGCAATAAGAGAAAACCTTGATAATGTTGAAGAAATGGCTAAGGCTGTAAAAGCGTCTCTTTTCCATGTTGCGTCAACAGAAGAGTACCCGCAGCATCATCTTTGCCCGAAAGGTGAGGACAGTTGGTGTTGGCTATCAAAGAGATTCCAAAACATACAAACATAAAAATGGTATTCCAAAGCCCATTGTTGAGTTGGTTGAGCCTATATTTGATGATTTGGCTGACCCAGCTTTGTTAAAGAAATGCACCCATGGCTTGACCCAGAATCCGAATGAATGTTTGAACGGGATCATCTGGGACAGATGTCCAAAGACTACATATGTAGAGCAGGAAACTGTAGCTCTTGCCACCTACCTAGCAGTCCTAAAGTTTAATGATGGGGACATATCATATCTTAAAATTCTGGAAGACTTAGATATAACGCCTGGGTTCTTCACTTGTAAAGGTGCCAAAGACTGCGACAGAGCGAGGATCAAGCTGTCGGCCAGAAAGAGCTCAGAGAAAGTCAAGTCAAGAAGGAAATCACTGAGACACTTCAGGAAAAAGTTTCTGGATAATGCTGAGGACAAGGAAGGGGTAACATATGAAGCAGGTAGCTTCTAAACCTTTATGTTGTGAGAAAAGCATGAACGAAAACTTTAGATTGGATTTTCTCATTTTCACAATTTGGCATGTGTAAGTGATCTTTGTGACACTGTAATATTGTAACTATTTACTGCAGGGAGTTGATATTTGGCATACTTACTAACTGTAACATCATCTATTATGTGAAACTCTTCAATTTTCAATACTAATCATCCTTAATGAATTATATGCGAATTTCCTTCATAATTGCCGGATTAAGAGTTGCAATAATTGAAAAATTCCAAAATATGGCTCTAATTTTTTTTTAAAGATATTTCAAGAAAATTGAAGAGTTTCACATAATAGGTCAGGTTCTAATCTTTTCAAAAATATATTATTTATTTTATTCTGATGACTGGTTCTTGAGATATAATGTTTACGATGCTAAGCAATTACAGGTTAATTAATGGCCGCCATATTGGATAATTAGTGTAATTAATGACTTTGTGAAAAAAATTTTGCATTGGTCATTTTCTGTCACCTGTCACTTTCAGAAAATAATATTTTTGCATAAATCTACTTAAAAATGAAAAAAAAAGTTTCAAGAGGAGATGACCATAATGAAGCAAAGAGAATTTGAAGTTATTCAAATTTTCACTATCAGTATTTAATTTCAGGTGGTAATAATATTTGCATCGTATTTTTGGAAGTAATCATTAGAATTTGTAGTAGTGGCTTTATCTGTAGAATCATGATTAAAAAGATCGTCTAGGTTGTGAATACTAGTTAAGCATCCTAGGCCTTTTTTGGTTTGCAATGAACTATCTAACAGATTACTAGAGTAATGATAGAGATAAATATCCTCTTGGCCATAGAATGGCAATTCTTGAAGCAAAGCTCTATATTAGAGGTCGACATTGTCATTATTGAAATGTTTGGTTATAAAATACAGTAATTACTTATCTGTAAACATAATCATAGTTCACACTGAATTTGTTGAGTTTTCCAGGTTCTCTAGATCTCTTTTGCTTTTAATGCTCAATACACAAGACTCTTCAGACTGAATAGTTCATCCAGTGAAATCCGCTGAATTCTTCATCCAGTGAAATTTAAGATGGTTCTCCCTTGAGAATTTCTTTGCATCAGCCAAAATTTGTTGTAGTTTCAGTGTTAAGTGATTGAATATACCTGCATTTATCAGGTCTGTTTCTTCTGACATACCTGCTTGTTTTGGATCAATCCTGCATACATTTTGTCTGACTTTCATCACACTCTCGAGCAAGTCATCAAATGAATTTACAGATTATAGGTTTTGGTTGTTGATGGTATTACTTTTCGATGATACACAATGAGCAATATTTATATCCTCTATCTTTACATGGACATTCATAGTATAAATTTTCGAGGCCCAAGCTCAGGAATTCCGATCGAGTTGACATTATATGAATAACTCAACTGTTGTGCCTTGTCGATTGCTTCAGAAAGAACATCAACTTTTTCGACCAGTTCGGTTAGTTGAGATTCCAGGCGAGAGATTTGTTGTTTTATTCAATTGAGTATATTGTCGTATTCGTTCGATAAGTGTTCTAGACTCTTTGCTGCTTCCTTGTCTGTTGTCGAACTACTTTGATCGCCAGGTTCATTGACTTTGATTTTGTTTCACGTTGTTAGCTTATTTCTTAAATTCCTTCGTAAGGGACTCAATCAGTTCTTTTAAAGCACCGTTTTCTTTTCTGAGGGATTTAACACCGTCTTTTGACATATTAATCTAATTTTTCTGTTGTGACTCCTGCTTGAAATAGTTTATTTAACTAGATATTCTAGCAAAGGATAAGAAATGTATGAGAACTGTTTAGATGCCACATTTTTGGTAAGTTCTTGAGAAAGAGCTTTACATATACTCTATACAACATAACCGACTTGATAATGAACCTTATTATACTTGACGACTTGATATTAGCCACATCATGTTATATATGTATTATGTTTGTGCAAATTTAGATTGTTTTAATATATATTATTCTTTTACTAAGAAAACTCTTAATTATGTTTTTGCTTAAATCCACTTGAGGGCCGCATTGGACAAAAAAGATCTTCTTATTACTCTACTGTGTCATATCAAAAGATTCCACTTGCCACTGATAAACCCTCCATGACAATGGTCAATACTCGAAATTAACAGATCTGATACAACATGTAATTACATAAGTATCCGTAAGCAGATAATGCCTTGGACATTTTATGTATAATTGACTACCCAACCTATCCTCGTGCACCTGACTAATAAAAACACAACAAATTTGAAATAAAGCGCAGCCATATTCTCAAAAAATGTTTGTAAAAAATTAGTAAAAAAAGTTTCTTCCTTTGCAGATAGCAAACAAACTTGTGAAGACTTCAAATTCACAACTGATGACAGCAAAAGTAAACTTTTCCCAAACAAACGCACACGAAAAGGTTAGGCATACAGTACATGACGTAGTGAAGGATCATGAAAAGGCCACCTTAATGCTTTCTCAGTTCTATAGTACCCCCTTTATACACTTGTACACTGATTCATTCCCCTGCTGCATTGCCCAAAGGATTTAGTTGGTCGATCCATATTAACTAATTAAGTTGCAGACTGTTGCAACATTGGCACTCCCCAAGTTGTAAGGAAAATGGCGAATTTTAGTTACTGTCAACTTCTGTCAACTGCTTTTACAAAAATACCCATATGTCAAGATCAATGTTATAAAAAACCTTGAAATTTGGCAGTGGGTTAAAATGATCAATGATTAATCAATTTTATTTTAAATGAGCTCCTACACTTAAATATATCATTAGATTTTTGGGTGAGAATTCTTGGTTTGTGCAAATTTAAGTCCCTGACATTTTGTTTCTTCATGACATCCAACATCTGAAAGGCAATAATTCCATAACCCAACATAAATGGCCAAATATTTTTTGATTCCTGGATTGGTACACATTTATATTCAAATTAGCCCTTACAAAAATAAACTATAGTTTTCGACCAAAAACTATAGTTTTTGGTCGAAAACTATAGTTTTTGGTCGAAAACTATAGTTTCCAAAAAAAACTATAGTTAACTTCAAAATAGCTATAGTTTGTCTGCAATAAACTATAGTTTTATAACTCAAGGAAACTATAGTTTTTTGAAAACTATAGTTTTCGACCAAAAACTGTAGTTTTTGGTGGAAAACTATAGTTTGCAAAAAGAAAACTATAGTTAACTTCAACATAACTATAGTTTTATAACTCACTATAGTTTTTTGAAAACTATTGTTTTCTACCACTAGTATATATAACTCAAGGGAACTATAGTTTTTTGAAAACTATTGTTTTCTACCACTGGTATATATAGTTTAGTTTCATGTACATAATTAATAAAGGACTATAGTTTTATGAAAACTATGAGAAAAACTATAGTTTTTGGTAAAAAACTATAGTTTGGTAGAATACTATAGTTTCCAAAAAAAACGATAGTTAACTTCAAAATAACTATAGTTTTTTTCCAATAAACTGTAGTTTTCTATCCAAAGGGAAGTATAGTTTTTTGAAAACTATAGTTGAGTTTAGATAACTATAGTTTTACCACTAGCATATATTTTAGTTTCATAACTAAAGTTTTGAAAACTATAGTTTTGTTATAGTTTTTTTAAAGATACACTTTAGGTTCTATAACTATAAAGCAGTGCCTGTGGCCCTGTGCCCAAGGCGTCCCAACAATTTGATCATGCTATGCAAATTTCAAATAAATATCATATATTCATTTCTTTAGAAATGTATTGTTTTCACGGAAATATTTATCTACGTAGCATGAACAAATTCTCGGGCTGACTTCACCACTATATTCTGTAAAGGATCATACCTAATCCAGTTACCTCATTGTAAAACTAATTGGTTGAAACAACCACTTTTTTAGGTCGCAATTAAATTATTTTTTTGACATTTAATTAAAATTAATTGGTCAAAATATTATATTTATTTAACTGGTCAAAATTTCAAAGTTTGAGTTAATTTTAAATTCTGCATGAGTTCATGGAAACTATATTTACCAAAGTTTACAGTGTTTGTGGAGGTAGGTGTTTTCGCACAGGAGCACACACGAGAGAAACAAATTAGGGAGAAAGGAAATTTACCTGACTTTTCTCTGACTATAATGAAAAATGTCTATGTAAACTTTCCCAAAACTGTTGCTGATGGGGATTGGGTGGGGTGGGGGTGGGGAGATGGGTCGAAGAAAAAACATTTCCTTTATGTCAAAATTCCTCGTTACTTTTACATAATTATTTTATTTTCAACTACAATATTGCATATTTCAAGTTATTTCCTCCAATTTTGCCCTACTTACGTTTATAATTTGCCACGAATTAATTAAATTCTCACGATGAGCGCGGTTTGACAGCCTGGTACCTAATTTTTCTAACAACATGCGCAAAGCTTCCTGCGATAGCGTCATTCAATCAGACCGCCATATTTTTGAAATTTTCATTTGAGTTAATTTATCAGCGTGAAATATGGATATTTTAAATGAAAATAACGTATTTTAACGAAGATGGAATATCAGGAATGACTAAGTAACATACAGGTAAGAATATTGTTATGTTTTCTATATAATAGAGCAATTTTGAAACGTAATATTTACCACTTTTTGTTTGTAAATATTTACCATCATCATCCTGATGTGACCTGGCTTAAATATATTTGAATTTGCCGCGAGAATATTTGCATTATTACGATAACATTTGAAACAGTTGTATAAATGCCAAATAGTATAGCTGTGTATATGACAGATTGTATTTAAACAGTGAACTTTGTATAGAATAATGTAGCTTAATTGGCATCTACTCAATCCTGATCATATGCCTACATAGGCATGCCTCACCTAAACATGATTTGAGAGAATTTATTGACATATATCAACTGCTATTTCATACGTTTCTAATGTTTATTCATATATATAACAGTGGTGTAACTTTACTATTTTTACCACTTGCCAGCTCTCACTCTCAGGGCAAGTTGGACAGGAAAATTAGTTGCCTTGAATATAAAAATTCACTTGCCATTGGACAATGGCCACTGGTATACTCAGGTGGAGGATATAAATTAAGGGGACAATATTTAACATGTTGATTCGTCAATATGGCTATGTTATACTGCCTCAGATCCTAGCTTTGGCCCACAAAAAAACACTATACAATCTGACAATGAAAACATGCCTGGCAGCTTTTTGCGGCATGGCAACTAGCTCAATCGGACAAGCAAGATAAAATGTTTAATTGCCCGTCATGATATTTATTTGCCCCGGGGAAGTGTTAAGTGAAACCTCTGTATATAAGTGGGTCCGCTTAGATTAAAATGTCAATATGATGTGTTGTGTGGCAACTTGATTCATGGATGTGTAGTGGAGACAGTTCAAGTCTTTAGTTTGCTTGTTCAAACTTATGAGTATATTTAGTTACACCACCTGCATGATCTGCTTAATGATATATACATGTAACAACTTTGGGCCACATTTTATATATTTTACAGACACCTTGACAAGGGTGTTGAGCATGTTTTTTTTAATTATACCCATGAGCCAATTTTCAGCAGTTTGTTAAATGTTATCTTCTCTAATGCCGGACAATTTTATTTGTCAAGGGAAGTGTCTAGCTAGACTCTGCCCATGTTTCATGTTGACATATTTAGATGCAATTTTACCTAACACTACCTACAACTTAACTATTTTGATATTTAACTTTGATGTATGTCTCGCATGAGACAATTTTACTAATCGACTGTGGACTGCTTGCCCAAGTATCACCTATTTGTACCTAAGGAGTAATTATACAAGATATGTCAAACTGGATACTTGGATAGTTATATCCATAAGGGTTAAAAGTCAAGTCAATATTCTCTTGCCTTTTATTGATATACAATATATTTTCCCACAACTCAGCACTACTATATGTGCATCAAAGTAGAAGTTACATCAATGTTGGAATTGATTATATTATATTATATTATATTATATTATATTATATTATATTATATTATATTACTGTATATTAGCCAAGTGAACATTTGTTTGTGTGACCCCTTTTGATTTTAAAATAGGTTTAACTCTTCCTGGCTTAGATTCAACGAGTGTTCTAGTATTGTTGGCTTAATCTTATTCCAGCATTGATTAATAAAGACATCCCACAGGTTGTCTTCACTGTGGAGATCATGTTTCAGTTTCTCTGATTGCAAATGATCCCATAAATTCTCAATAGGATTTAGATCCAGAGATTAGGGGTGCACCGGAACCGATTCTTAAATTCTTGCTGGAACTGAAAAAAAGTTCTGGCTGGAACCAGAACTGATTTATTAAGCCATGTAACAACTTTGGGCTACATTTTATATATTTTACACACACCTTGGCAAGGTTGTTGAGCATGTTTTTTTAAAATTATACCCATGAGCCAATTTTCAGCAGTTTGTTAAATATTATCTTCTCTAATGCCGGACAATTTTATTTGTCAAGGGAAGTGTCTAGCTAGACTCTGCCCATGTTTCATGTTGACATATTTAGATGCAATTTTCCCTAACACTACCTACAACTTAACTATCACCTATTAATACCCAAGGAGTAATTGCACAAGATATGTTGGGTAGTTATATCCTATCTACATGTATATGTTATATCCAATCCAGCTAGTAGGATACATAAATATCCACTATCCAATCAAAATGTCCCAGGACAAATTTAAATTTCACACAACAACAACAACAACAACAACAATCTAATCATATTTGTGATCATTATAACATATATCGACAACAATAGTATAATCTAATTAGCACCAATTAACCAATCAAATGGCAGATTAAAAAATCTGTTGTCGCATAGACCAGTCAGATTTCCAACCGAAGTACGGTTGTACGGCATGGACTTTCGTTAATTAAGGTTTGATCGCAGGTTAGACCTCTTAGTTACCCCACCTACTGTAGATGCACTGTAATGTGAAATTATATTAACTATGGTTAACTTACATGAAAATTTGTCCATTGTTTTCCAGAATGTGTAATGGATGTTAACAATACAACAATATGAGCTGTCCTGTTTACAAAGAAGACATTATAAAAGCAATAAAATTCAAGCTGGACAACAAAGAGCAGGGAAGGAACAGCAATAAATTGAACAAGAAACTGAGATTAGTTGACATACATTGTTTTTTATATGGTTACTAATTCAAAAAACTGATTATATTTAGTATTATTTGTTCATTTATTTAATATATAGTTTATTAGTTCTTTGTATGATTGCATGGCGATAAAATATGTAACACTTTTTGTTTGTGGAAACACCACGTAAATTTATTACTGCAAAGCTTTCGATCCGTAAGCCCGGATCGAAAGCTTTACAGTAATAAATTTCCGTGGTGTTCCCACAAACTAAAAGTGTTATACATAGTTTATTATTATGCAAATAGCTTATTATATTTATTATATTAATAAAATAATGTTATCAGATGAACAAATTTCATTGTGCGAGGTGGTGATGTGCTGCTTGCATGCATGCTATGCTAGGGTATTTCTTTAAGACACTATAGTTTTCTAACTAAAATACAGAAGTATAGTTTTTCCAACTACAGTTTTTAGTCAAAACTAAAGTTTTTGACAAAACTATAGTTTTTAGCCAAAACTATAGTTTTAGCCAAAACTATAGTTTTTAGCCAAAACTATAGTTTTCAGCCAAAACTATAGTTTTTAATACTATAGTTTCCATAACTATAGTTTTTGTTCCAAAATACTATAGTTTTTAAAACTATAGTTTTTGGCTTGAAAAACTATAGTTTATTTTTGTAAGGGCTGTAACTAAAATCGCAAGGAACAATATAGCCACGGGTTAACGCCGACGAAAAACCGTTTTTTTCTCCACTTCCACTGGATTACCACCACTCTCATACAATTCATCCCATATACTATCCCAATCAGGAGAAGTTGCATCCGATATTTTGCAATCAATTTTAACGCCGTCCGAAACTTCAAGAGACAAAATGTCACATTCGTTGTCAAAATGATAATTGTCAAAACCACCAAGACGCGTGCAGTCCATTCCATCGTCTCCAAATAAGATGGGCTCATTGTCGTTCTCTGTATTGTGAATTGTGAATCAAGTGAATTGCGCATCTTCTGAACATCTTCTGAACATCTTCTACTTTATTGAATGCGGCGTTTGAACGGTTTTCATCAGTTGCACAACCAACATGAAAGCAGGTGAGTGCATAATGTTGTCCATTGAGGCCGCAAAACATGGTTAAAGTCCCAGTTCCCTGGACATGAGATACATCAACTTTCTCGTTCTCTTCAGGCACTCGTAAAGGGTTTTGATTGGTATAACTGGGGTTACTGCAAGCTAATATACCACCACCAGGTGGCGGTAAGACAGAAGATGATTTACATCTCAATTTACTTAAAAGGAGACCCAAATATTTAATTTTTGGTTTCCTTTCAGGTTCTCGAAGGAGTTCAAAGTGTTCCTTAGCGTCGTCTCACTTGAACTTCTCTTCAAGGTCACATCGTACAAACGATCTCTTCACTCCTCCTTTAACTGTGAGGTACAAATGTGGACGAGGGATCTTTTTGTTTCGACCAACCAGCCCATACGCTCCACACAACCAAGGAAAACTATACAGAAGCAATGCCATATTAATAAATGCAAAAACAGCCACCAAAAATTCAATTCACAGTTCTAGATTCATAAAAAACAATACCATTGCTCCAAACATTTATTCATTTCACAAATTAAGTATGTTAGGGACGTGCAAGGATGCATATATTATTTTGAACAGTCTTTGTCAGTGTAGGTAGTGGCAATAATAACAAAACTTGGGTTGATAGGAATACAACTACCTGAAAAATACAAGGAGAACTTCGACGTTTTGAGCGAAGGTCCAATAATTGATTCATTGCGTAGAATTCGTGGTCATATCAGGGAATGTTACCAGTATAACAGAAAAGCGTTTAGAAGAATTATAAAAACTACCACGTGAGAATTAAATTGTATCTGAATTAATTAAAAACGTGGAATTGACCTCATTGGTTATTAAAGAGCGATTAGATTCTGTAAACAAGCTTTCGTTCATGATAGGGATGAAACTACCTGAAAAATATAAGGAAAATTTCGACGTTTCGAGCGAAGGCGCTACGTCGGGAGTTTGGTTAGTAACTCCAGACCAAGGACCTTCGCTGGAAACGTCGAAATTCTCCTTATATTTTTCAGGTAGTTGCATCCCTGCCAACGAAAGCTTGTTCATATTATTGCCACTACCTACACTGACACAGACACTTCAAGATTAGATTCTGTGGTTTTCTGATGGATGTGAATGAGTAGATGAGTTATGAATGTTCTGAGTATATGTACCCTCATCTCAACATTCATATCCACTCGTTCACATCCATCAGAAGAAGAAAATCGCACTTAAAATCGCAGCAAAAATTTGCGAATCTAAAAGGGGCCTTTAGGAATCGAAATTCACCAAATGTGTAGAATTTCTGAAATGGCAATAGTTTAGTTTTACCGCGCGAATTTCAAAGGTTTAATAGTTTTTGCGCGCGAAATACAAAAGTTTAAAACGCATTTTGAATTCATGGGCGAGAACATTGTTATGTTTTTTATTAATGGTCCAAATATCAGAAAATTTGCTCAATTTTAAGTCCTTCAAATAGCTGCTGAAACTTTCAAATTTTGGCACCAACGCCTTTCACGCATGCATAATTCATGCATTTACCTAATTTGCATTTTGTGATTGTAAAAACATTATGGATCATTAATAAATCACATAACAAATATATCGCCCATGAACTCGAAATGCGTTTCAACCTTTTAAATTTTGCGCGCAAGCTATTTTTAATGCTGCTAAAAAAGACACCCCCTGCTCTGGAAAATTTATCTTTAAGAAAATGTTTTGTTTATTCCACATTATAAGTACCCAAACAATATATATTTATCAAAAATTTGATGACACGAACAAATTTGTGAAATTGAGAGCCGTTTCAAAATTGTCTACTTTTTTCTGATACACCCTGTAGATAGAAAGATAGATGGATACACCCTGTAGATAGAAAGATAGATGGATACACCCTGTAGATAGAAAGATAGATGGTTTATTTCATAAAAAACATTGCAGCCAATAGCTGAATTACGCTTATATTTACAAGTTAAGAAAATATTAAAATACTATACACTAACTATCTCTAAAAGGATCCAAGAATATACAATATTATACACTAACTAAGAATATTAATATAAGAATATTAATTTAAAAATATTAAAATACTATATACACTAACTGTCTCTAAAAGGATCTAAGAATATTTACATATTAGTGGTAGTTAATTAATTTTATAATTAGGTGCAATTGTTGTTAATCATATAGAAGTCATAAAGTTATATTAGGCAAAACTAAATGATTTTTTTCAAATTAAACGGAATTTCTATAAATATTA